ATATTACCTTAGCATTAGAAATGGGGTGAACAGATACTACACTGTGATCCCATCCCGATGAAGAAAACTATGAGTCGCACTGGCGTCTTGGTCGATGAATTCCGAATATTTCCATATAAGGAAACGGCAATATTACCATTAGCATCTAAAAGCAGCTGATATTAAGAGGTTTTCCCATAAAAATTTTTTGGTATTCGTTAGCGAAACAGCTGTGCAATAGACTTACTGACTGATCGAAAAATCGATGGAATGCTACAAGCTATTCTTGTGAAATAAACAAGTTCCTTGCCGCAATGTCTGGATTAAAACCAGATGTGTTCAACGGCCTCCAATCAACAAAGATTATTTTACTGTGAAGAGAGTCAGGTGTGGTTGCTTCCAATGTACACCTGAAGAGGCACACTAGACGAAATGGTCACAAAGGAATTGCAAAAATAAATATTTCTCTCAAGAGATGCAAGCCATGCGTGCTCTAGAACCCTGGCCTTTAGTTAAGACTCAGTGGATTCTCATTATTTGTAAATCAAAAATTCAAACTTGGTTTACAGAAGGCGAATGCAAACTCCAAGTCATTAGTGAAGAGAACGAACAATAAAGGAATTATTTTCAAGAAGACAGAAGATGGTGATACTACCATTAAGACGAAAGTGGTTACTGGGTGTGAAAGTGAATGAGAAAACTTTAGTTAAGAGAAAGAACAATAAAAGGTGTCATGAAGGCAGAAGATGACGATTGACGTTGCATTTAAATTTTTGAAGATTGTAGATAATAGGGAAGTAAGACAGCGGAAGAGAAGTACACAGTTGTGGAGTGCGAGAAAAGAAAATATTAGTCTAGAACTTACGATTGCATGTAACGTTTTAACAGTAAAACGATGAGACCTATCTGCCAATCTAGTAGTACACTTAAATTCATACGGTCGTGTTACCAAGGAGAAAATTTCATTAGAACAATTGTCATGAAAATATTTATAGAAAAGACACAGGGAAGCCACTTCAGGGCAGTTGGAAAGTAACTGATGTCGAGATGCCAGGTCAGGACCATCATTTTACAGATGGTCCACATATAATGATAATTACAATGCAATCTGATGTGATTGTGAACTTCTACACGTGTCAAGCTTAAACTATATCTTTTTCCATATATTGTAAAAGTTTTTACTTACAATTCATAATTTCTGTATTTAAAATGAAACCTCGACAAACATCATCATCGAGGTTTTATTCCATCACCAAGACTTTCAGGTCGATATCCTGCAAAAGGATTATGCAGATGACCGAGCTATCAATGCAGACACCGTTACTAATGCCACAGTTCTCCTACATCATGTACAAAATGCGGCTAACGATGTTGGACTCTATGTCAATGGCTCCAAAAATGGATTCATAAGCTTCAAATAGTAAGGTTCAACTGTTTCAGGAGAATCAATAAAACGTGTCGAATTTTTTACATACCTAGGAATCGAAATAAATTCTCATGAAAAGCATGTGGAAATTCGCGTAGCTAAAGCCAGGTCAGCCTTGAATAAAATGGATGTAATCTGGAAATCTAATCTACCAGACAACTTCAAACGGAGATTCTTTCAAGCCATTGTAGAGGCAGTGTTAATATTCACTTCTTGGACATTAGCTAAAACCCTTGAGTCTAAGTTTGATGGAACCTACCCACGGATGCTGAGAGAAAAATCTCTGGGAGATAACATCCAAATCACAGCTCTATGAAATCATCCCTGATATTTCTACAATCTTATGTGGAAGCGGAATGTCCTTTGCAGGACACTGCTGCCGAGCAAAGCAAGAATTTGCGAGTGATCTACTACCGTTATTCACTCAGCAACCACCAAATATGCAAAGACACAGGATGTTACCATAATGAACTTCCGAGCCTGGTGCAGGACCGTTATGGTCGGCGTGATGAATGTCCGAGCTGGTTCATGAATGTCCGAGATGGCTCGTGAATGTCCGAGATGGCTCGTGAATGTCCGAGATGGCTCGACCGAATAATAAAAAAAAAAAAAAAGGAAAACTTGAAAATTTTCAACATATTTCAATGAAATATTCACTTTCAAAAATAAGAGTTTATAATTATAGATTAATTCTATGGAACTAAGAATTTATCAATTGTAACTGATGTCAGGGGCGAGATCCATTGACACACTCTTTTTAGATAATTTGAAAAATTAAACTAAAGTTAGTATTTTCTTGATTTCACATAAAAACCAGTAAATACTCCAACATTTTCCAGTGGAAGTATCACTTTCCAAAATGTAAAGTTTATAATTATAGCTTAGATAGGGGGGTGACGTCAATTAAAACTTAACTTAGGGGGATACGGGTTAAATAATTCAATATTTTTATGTGAAATGGTTAAACTTTCTTTTATTTACGTTTTAAGCTATCTTACGATCACCGATGTTAAGCAACGTAGAGCCTGGTCATTACCTAGATGTGTGACCGCTTGTGAATACCAAGTACTGTAAGTTTGAATGTGCTTGTGGTGTAATCGATAGCGATTCGGAATTGTTAATCGGTGAGCCGAGATTTATTTCTAGTCGGGTTCATTACATTCGATTATTTCCAAATAACCTTGGGAAAGGTATGAATCTACGTTTTCTCCTCCACAGATGTGTGTTAATTAGTCGGTGTTGTATCAATAAATCATTATTAGCTCCGAAACATTCTTACAATCTAAGATATTTTCTAGTTTTAAATAACCTGCAAAAAGGTTGATAAACCGTAAAAAAAAGAAATCAATTTATCAATCTTACATTTTTTTGTTTTTTGTTTTTTTTTTGTTTTTTTTTCATTCTTTTTTTCAAACTAATGTTTTATTCTTTTTCATTAAAATCAATTCAGCTCAACTTTCGAAAATAACGCATCTTGGCTATAATCAAATCTTTTTTTTTTATTCAATCTCATTCTTTTTCTTAACCTTCTTTAGTATGTTGGCGATCATGGCTCTCCACAATTTCCTATCCTTTATAGTTCTTAATAAATGATTTCTTTTTGTTATTTCTCCTAAAACCTGTTCCGACATCCATTTACTCAAGCTCATTCTTCTTCTTCGTTTATGTGCTCTGTCCCTTTAGGACGCTGACGATCAAGGCTCTCCACAGTTTCCTACCCTTTGTAGCTCTTAATAAATTTTGTCTTTATGTTTTTTTCCCAAACCCTGTTCCGTCATCCATTTACTCAAGTTCATGTTTCTCCTTTTTGTGCTGTCTTTCCTCAGGACATAGGCGAATCATGGCTCTCCACAATTTCCTGTTCTTTATAGCTCTTAATAAATTCTCTCTTTTTGTTATTTCTCCAAAATCATGTTCTGCAATCCAAGCTCACTAAGTATGTCATCCGTTGTTTTCCTCTCTCTCTCTCTCTCTCTCTCTCTCTCTCTCTCTCTCTCTCTCTTTTCTTTCTTTCTCTCTCTCTTGGCTTCCTTGTGAGTATCAGATTTTCCAAGCCCTCTTTCCTTATTATTTGCTCTAGAAATTTATAGCCTCGCTTCCGCGTGTTATGTATGTTTCATTTTTGTTGCCATTTTCTCTAAAGCTTCGTCGTTGCTCCCATATTCGGTCGATGGTATCATGAGCATCCTTCTGAGGAACCAAATTTCTGTTGCTTCAAGTCTCTTCTTCATCATACTTATTATAAAACCCAGGTTGTGTGTGTGTGTGGATTTTTTTTATATTGGATCGGATTTCCTACATTTTTCAATCGATTTCAACAAAACTTCACAGGACTACGTAAAATTACCTTGCGGTGGTTCTGACAGCGCCAAAAATTGGAAAAACACAATTCTTTTTGCACGAAATCAATTTGAAAACACGATTAAGAGGCATCGCGAGAATGAAAGGGGCACAACTCATATCGAGTTATACTTATTATAAAACCAAGGTTGTTTGTTTGTGTGTGTGTGTTCGTTTATATATGGGATCGGATTTCCTACATTTTTCAACCAATTTCAACAAAACTTCACTTTATTGGGCAGGTAGTGTTTCTTATTGTCTTGCACACTTTTTTCTTTATTTTTACATTCAGAATGCTTTAAAAATTCCATTTACAAGGCAATTGTTTATAATAAAATTCTATTCAATCGGTAGACTCATAACGATTGAAAACAATGTTTTTGTTTGAGTTTGGGTTTGACCAATTCGTAAAAAAAAAAAAAAAAAAAACTAATTAAGACATGCGTGTCCGTCAACCTTAAACAATAATCTTTGTCAATTTTATTTTTCAGTCTTTATGATGGTCGATACTTGATCTATCTCTTACTGTTACATCCCCAGGCAACGCCGGGCTCTACTGCCAGTCTTTGATAAAATTTGTAATGACAGACAGAAACATGTTAACATGCACTCTGCATTTCTCTGGAATATCTTTTTTTTCTGTTCGGAGGTCTCGTCTTACTTTAGGAGCACATTGTAAAATAATGATTTACAAATTACAAGAATCGCGCAATTTTCCCCATGACATCCACTTCAACCAGAAAGATATTTCTTACATTTTTTAATTTCACTTTTTATTCCTGAAACTCTTGGTTTCTATTCTGATTTCTTCGTTTGCCGCCAAAATTCAATATTTGTTATCAAAGCCCAATTGAAGACTCTTCGGGCCTGCCGACTTCTTTATCCTGAAAATGATTAGCGAGAAAAAGCCGGGTTTTGGTTAGAGGGATATAGGCATTGGCGTTGATGCCTTACACTGGACGGAAAATGAAGGAAGAAAATCGAATGACAGTGTGGAAAAGATAAGGATGAAATTAGGCAGGCAAGCCTGAGGGCAAACAACACTTCAAGACTATTTCAGTGTCTCTGAATGAATTCTTCGAAAATTAAGATTAATGAAATGTTAAAAGTTTGCCTAAGGGGTAAAAGAAGTAAAAAACAAAAAACAAAGAAAGACAAAATTAAAAAAAATAAAGGCCAAAAGGATGGTAAAAGGTTTGGAATTAAGAAATGAAGTACAGAGGAAACGAAATAAAAAAATATAAAAAAGAGGGAATTAGAAAAAAAAAGAAAGAAAATAGAGAAAAGAAATGAATAAAAAGGAGAAAAAGAAGAAATGAAAAATCTTTATTGAAGAAAGATGAAGCATTGAAAGAAGAAATACTAAAGTCGGTAAGAAGATAAAAAAAAATGAAAAGAAAAAAAATCTATAAGGAGAGGGAAAAAATGAAAAATGATAGGAGAAAGAATAAATAAAAAAGAAACAAAGAAACAATAAGAAAGAGAGAGGAAAGGAATAAGAAAAAAGAAAGAAATACGAAAAAAGATGAAGAGGAAATACAAAAAACGATAACTAGACAGAAAACAGAATGCAGAAATACGAGAGATGGAAGTAATGTTAAAGTGATAGGGAAGGAATAAGAAAGATAGAAATAAAAAGGGAGAAGGAAGTAATGTTAAAGTGATAGGGAAGGAATAAGAAAGATAGAAATAAAAAGGGAGAAGGAAGTAATGTTAAAGTGATAGGGAAGGAATAAGAAAGATAGAAATAAAAAGGGAGAAGGAATTAATGTTAAAGTGATAGGGAAGGAATAAGAAAGATAGAAATAAAAAGGGAGAAGGAAGTAATGTTAAAGTGATAGGGAAGGAATAAGAAAGATGGAAATAAAAAGGGAGAAGGAAGTAATGTTAAAGTGATAGGGAAGGAATAAGAAAGATAGAAAGAAGATATAAGAAAGTCAAATTTGAACCAAAAAATATAAAAATGAAAAGAGAAAAAGATAATCACAGGAGAACACATTGCAATTTTTTGTCTATTGAATTAAATTTGGCAACTAATTCTATATAATTTGTGTGCACTGAGCACGAATCTTTACTGGGTTTTGCTCTATCAGGTCTTGATTTTGCCCATCACCCCCTCCACTTTCGTCGGATTCATAAAATGTTTTTACTCAATACTCACTATGTCTTTTTGCAGCTACACATTATGTAGATAGATTCTTTTTATCCTGGATTTGTACTTATTGTTAAAGTATTGTTTTATTATGTATACTTTTATATGTAACACCATAAAATATTTTTAATTTTGTCATCTTTAACCCATTTTAATACTAACAAATAAAAATATAGAATTTTATAATTTTTTCATGCGTTGCTGTTTTCTGTAGAATATTCTAGAGGGACAACTAAAATATATCACAACGACTCGTTTCCGGAGTTAATCAGTCCCTTCAATCAGTCAGTTAATTATGTTTGAGCATTAACATAATTTTGAATTGGTATATTATTTAGTAACTTTGTTACAGTGATTTAATAATTGATTTAATTAGATGTAATACGTATTGTAGCAATCATCCGTGTTTCTAGTTTAATTTCACAGATTGTAAGTGCTTATTTAATAAGTTACTATTTAAAACAATTTTTGTGTTTACATTTAAGATTTTCTTAAATTTATATGAATTAAGGGCTTTAAATACCTTAACAAATTGGCAGAAGATTCAAGCAATATGTCATCAAGTACGAGAAAGTTCAAATGCAAAAACAATCCTGATTCCTTTTGTTTAATATATGGAAATTTTGCACTTCCGCATCAACGACCAAATAGAACTGATTTCGTAAAAAAATTTTGCCACAGTGAAAGCTTTATATCTGTTTAAGTCACTTCATCATTATAATGTAATTTTACAGTACATTGAACTGCTTGTATTCATGAAATTTGAAAAACATTTTAAAACTGTCCTATTTTTAGGCTGCTGACAAAAATCAAGACCTGATAGGGACAAAACGAGTTGAAATTCGCATTCAACACACCAAAATCCGTGCGCTTTCGGCCATTCTATTAGTTATTGTCAAAGATTAAAACTGAATATGTGTTTACCGTGTTTGGAAAAAAAAATGCTATCCCTACAGATACACATATATAAAAATCTATCTTTAAATACAATAGCCAAAAGCGCAGAGATATATAGAATATTGGACATTTTTTTACACACTTTATATCCAGAAAAGAAAAAACTTGTACAAATGCAAGAAAAAAATGAATAAAATGCTTAATCGCAGTACCTTGTCAGTCGTCTTTAATGAAGTTTTTATAAAAGAAAGTGCTACCCAAAACTATATATATATATATATATATATATAATATATATATATATATATATATATATATATATATATAGTACACATACACGAGACAGTCTAATCCTAACATTAAAGCATTAAATAATTATTATAACCAAAGTCCGTTGTCAAGTTTTTTTGAATTCTCATATACTTGTATTTTGATTGGTTATTCCAGCTTATGTAATAGCGTTTCCCCTAGCGAGGGGTGTTTGATTGATTTGAACCTTTTAAAACCCTTTATTCTACATTCAACACCATCACTTGATAAGACACCAGAAGTGTTGAAACAAAATGGCTATTTTTGTATTCCTTTTATAATATATTTATGTTATGTTATAATTTTCGAATAAATAATCATATTTGCTCTACTTTGTATTGAGCACTCTTTTAAGAATAGTATTTGTTGGTTACTGGAATTTATTCCGTATACGCCAGTATATATATATATATATATATATATATATATATATATATATATATATATATATAGGAAATCTGTTTTATTAGCCAACGCGTTTCGTCCAAGGCAAAAACGAAATGAATTTATTAAAAACAATGTAACTATTAACAACAAAACAAAATGTTCTTAAGAACTAGAATTCAGACAATGCTATTGACGATATGAATATAATAGTGTTTTCTATAGTCTTCTAAGGGGGCTTAGCTAACCGCCCTAGTAGACGGGTATTCTCGAATAAGAGTCTCCAGCTATACAGAATGAGACATAATTAATTTCCATATTAGGATTTGTAAAATCCGTTGTTTCAGTATTATTGACATTTGTGACGCCCGATGCCCCGCGAATGTTCTTTAAGAAGCCGAAAATAAAGTCAACATGGCGGCTTTAACTTGTCAGCCGAAACCGATTTTGGCATAGTTGTTGGGAATATTGCTTAGGAGATTGCAACAACTTTATTATCATCTGCGCCCAAGGTACGTTTTGTTGCCGATATTTTTATCGTTGTCCAGATTTAACTTTTTTTTCCAGTAACCAATTCCATTCACGTCTCTTCTGCTGAGAAGCTTGACATTTTTATGATAAAACTCAGCATTTCGCGTAACCACAACGACAGTATCCTTGTCTGATCAAATTTGTATGCCCATCCTGTTTATCAACAGGCAGTTATCTCATCATTAGCCATGATAATGTTGATCGCCCATCCAGGCCTCCGTACGCTTCTTGAAAAATCAAACACGTGCACCCTTCAGTTGGCTTGTTATCTTACATGAATTCTTCTCACATTTTTTTTTATTTTAGGAATAACGATTGCGGCCAAATCTCTACAGATAGTAAGATGAGTGCTATTAAATTGAATGGTCAGCTATGGATTGGGACCTGTCGCATGCAATATCTTCTCCTAATTTTGCTCCGCTATCCTTGTCTACTGTTCTACTGTAATGTTATGCGTAAAATATATGTAGTATCGTATGCCAATTAGATAGACAAGTATAAATAGAGAACAACTAGCGAACATGAGGTTGCTATGCCTAGCAAACTCGGTTGCTATTCAGGACACGGAGAACTGTACTACGACTATTATTACAAAGGTGTGCAAAACATAGCACTATAAAAACAAACACACTCATATTCACTCTATTAAGGAAAGTTAGAAATTCTTTTAAAAATGCATTTATTTTGTAACTGGTTGTTAAGAAAAAAATTGAGGGTGATTCGAACTCCGTAGAAATCGCTTTGTGAAAGTAACTGTTCTTGTGAAAATGCTTCCCTGAGCGACACTTTCTCTCCACATCTGGAATCCGGAGGAAATGAGGGTGATTCCCCTCCATAGAAATTGCTTTGTGTGTCCTACACGTAAAGGCCTGAACTGGTCGAACTAAAAAATGAAGCTCATATGAATATTTGTCATGGAATTAGCAATACGTTTCGAGGAATAAGCTAACTGCAAAAAGTGTAAGTTTCGCTCTAACTCACTTCCTTGCTGAGAAGCAGCGTAGAATTTCTCTGCTAAGGGTAATAAAAGTAGTCAGTTCATACTATATGCGTTGTGTTGTTTAAGATTTTATATCTAAACATATTTGGGATTATATTAGAATTTATATGCAAACATATCTGGGCTTATATTTGATTCTGTATGTAAACATAGGGTTTATATTTGATTCTATATGTAAAAATATTTGGGCTTATATTTGATTCTATATGTAAACATATTTGGGCTTATATTTGATTCTATATGTAAACATATTTAGGTTAATATTTGAGTCTAAATTTGCGCTTATGTTTGAGTCGAAATGTAAACATGTCTGGGTTTATATTTGAGTTCACAGGTAAACGTTTATCGTGTTTATATTTGAGTCTATAGATAAGCATATTTGGATTTATATTTGAGCGGATAGGTAAAAATTGATACCTGCGTCCGCAAGCATCCACACTGTAGGTGACCCATCTGGGGAAACCATAACCCCGTATACCGAAAGATGCCTTTCAAAAGCTAAGCAAAATTGTAAGGAAGACAAAATTTCGTTAGAAGCATATAAAAAATGGGACTGAACTAATATGCAATTTTCCTATATGGCAGTAAATGCTGAAAAAATCTCCTCACAAATGAAGGAGAGACTTGAAACAATAAAAATACGGTTCTACAGAAGGATGATGAGAATAACATGGACTGAACAACGAAACTTTAGATAAATCGGAAACAAAAAGTACACTAATATTTAACATCAAGAATAGAGAGTTTAAATTTCTACGCCATGTAATGAGAAAAGAGGACTTGGAAAATTTGATACTCCCAAGACAGATTGAAAGCAAGACAGATCGAGGAAAACAAAGCAAGACCTACCTATGAAGCTTAAGTAAATGAATGGTGAAGCAAGGTTTAGGAGAGATAACAAAACGACAAAAATTATTATTAAAAGCTACAAAGAGCAGGAAAATTTGGCGAGTAATGACCGCCAACGTTCTGAACAGAATTGGTTCATATAAGAATAAGGACCATACAGCAGGAGATGCTGTCGGTGTAGTCAAGAACCTAGACCCCCATCGACAGGGTATTATATCTATGTACGTTTATGCCGGTCTGTATGGATGTAAACCAGAAAAAAATAGTTAAATTAATAAAATGATGTAAAAAGAACTAATAAATTCCAGTATTTATCAGCTAAATGAATCAAAATTACTTCGTATCAGATAATTATGTTCAAGTGCAACTTTTTGAAGAAGGTGCTTACAGCACGGATTATTTGAGAGTTTATTTCTTTGGCCTGGCAAATGCCGAATTCCCCAGTTTAATCCGGGGTAATAGGCCTATAAACCAAGAAGAAAAGTCAATAAATAAGAAAACGAGAAGAGACAGTATATTAGCCTTTAGAATCTCACGAAGGCAGACATCTTGAGACACGAAAAAATACTGACTGCCACTATTCTCCTCCTTTTTACGCATTCAAAATACATTGAGGCAGATAAGATAAAAGGTGTGCGTATATTCAGAATAAATGGCTCTTTTATTGACATAACGAAGGCAGTTCTAGCCCACGCATTACAAGAAGACAGCACAACTTCCGGTCATGAAGATTTTCTCTGTAATATCGCCTTCACGGACACGAGATAGATAGATTTATATCCACATTCAGATTTAATGCTTTCACTGTACACAAACGCACACACACACCATCACACACGCACACCTAACGATCAGATAACATTTTAACTATATGTTAATACAAATTTTGTACACGTACTGATTAATTGACTGATTGGTTTTCTACCGCTTATCAAATTTTTGCAGGTAACAAAAAAAATGACAGTATATTAGCCTCTAGAATTTATCGAATTTATATTTGAGTTTACAGGTAAACGTGTATGGTGTTTATATTTGAGTCTATAAGTAAGCATATTTGGGTTTATATTTGAGCGGATAGGTTAAAATTGATGGTGGGTACCTGCGTCTGCAAGCATCCACACGGTAGGTCACCCATTTGGGAGAACCATAACTCCGTATACAGAAAGATGCCTTCCAAAAGCTAAGCAAAATTGTAAGGAACAGAAACTTTCGTTAGAAACATATAAAAAAAAAAGGACTGAACTAATATGCAATATCATTTTCCTACATGGCAGTAAATGCTGAAAAATCTCCTCACAAATGAAGAAGATACTTGAAACAATAAAAAAGTGGTTTTACAGAAGAAACAGTATTTTTACGGTTTATCAACCCTTCGCGGGTTATTTCAAGCCAGCAAATATTTATAATTTCTTTTTATTTATTATAAATTTCTTTTATATTTATAAAATTTGTCTTTTTGTTATCTCTTCTAAACCTTGCTTCGCCATTCATTTCCTCCTTCGTTTACAGGTAGAAAATGTTTACAGATTGTAAAAATCTTTTTTCGACATTTATACTTTATCAGCAAACAAGTAATTATAAAGTGGGGGATCAGTTATATATTAAAATCAATATATAAACCGATCCCTCACATCGCGGCCCTGGCAGTTTCTATCCACTTATATTACAGAGATTGCAAATAAATATAAAAGACATTATGACTGCGGAGTTAATCAGTATTTCATTTTTTACGGTTTATCAGCCCTTCGCGGGTTATTATCCATGGAAATACTTATAAATTCTTTTTACGAAGTTGGAATATAAGTTCATATTTTTAGATGAGACACTGTCATTGTAAATGACGGTGACTATCTTGAGAAGTAAGGATGTAAACCTGTGATGTATAGCTGTGATGTATAGCTATATCTTGATGTACGATATATTTGATTGATATAAAACAAATTGCATTACTTTTTGACTCAATCTTGTATACACGCAGATACACTATTTTCTCATATATATATATATATATATATATATATATATATTGTTTCGCTGTTTTAAAACTCATCATTGTGGCTAGACATCCGATTGCCTCAGCCGGGATCGAAACCTGACTGACTTGGTATCAGTCGGAGACCCCACCCCTAAGCCATTACAGGGATGAAAATGGATTTAGACGTATTTATTTTTAGATAAACACGCTAGTGACTGGAGAACTCGATTCGGCTTAACGAAGAGTCTTGCATCAGCAGTAATATTCACTGTTTACAAATTCACTTTTCTCCCTGAGATCTCAACCGAAATTCGGGGGCATATATATATTGTCATCCACAGACAGACTGTTTCGCTGCTTCACAGCTTATCAGTGTGGCTAGACATTCGGTTGCCTTAAGCCAGAATCGACTGATTTGTTATCAGTTGGAAACTGTAGCCTTAAGTCATTGGCGCACGGCAGGGATGAAGGTGAATTTAGATGTATAAGCTTATTTATTTAATATATACTGATGAACGATAATTCGTTCTCAATATTAATTTTTCAGTGTGCTCTGGCAATCAGAATGCAAAAGGAAAGTGAAGAAAGACTGATTGCACTTAACAAGGCACAAAATTATGTCAAATTATTTTTATTGGCGATGAATCTCTTCGAGGATTTCATTGGACAAGAAAGAAAAATGTGTTCAAAAATAATTTTTCTAGTTTTATTTAATAGCGTTTATTATGGTTCAAGCTGGGTGGGCATAACAAAAGAAAAATTCCATTGCTTCAGGTGAAAATACACGTATGCACACACACACACACACACACACACACACACACACACACACACACACATATATATATATATATATATATATATATATATATATATATATATATACGGTTTAGATTTCCGAGATGAGGCATTGCAACTATTTACATTGTTCGGACTGCTGTACTCATGTTTGTTGTCATATTCATGACGTTTATACGCTCCGGTCTTCTTCAGGATCTGTTTATATTTCTTAGATGAGGCATTGCAACTATTTACACTATTTACATTATTCGGATTGCTGTATTCATGTTTGTTGTCATATTCATGAGGTTTCGCCCTTGTACGCTCCAGAAAGTCTTGATTGGAATTTCGAATCAAAGCCATTATTTCGTCCACCGAACCCTTTATTTCCAGTTCTACGCGCCATGCCTCTTCCAGATACCTCTGTCTCCCTTTTAGTAAACACCAACATTTTATCTACCTGTTCTGTGGCCAGGTATTAAATTCACAACTCTTTAGGTCAAGTCACTGGATTACTCTAACCAAGGCTTTTATCCACTAGACAAGAACTTCTTTACAGAGTTTGATGATACCAGAAGGAGAATATTTTTGCAAATATCTTAATCTCATTTAAAACATTTATATATATATATATATATATATATATATATATATATATATATGCGTGCGTGTGTGTGATTGTATGTGCATGTGCGTGTAGGCGTGTATGTGCATTTAAGCCCGTAAACCTAGTTGTTATCTGAACTTTAATATGACATTTTCCCTTCAGAATGCTTTCTCTATACGGTTAACATTTAGGGCACCTCACTGGGTGCCTCCTACTTTCGGCCTTGTGCCACATCTAAGCTACGGAAAATTACTAGTGGGCTCCTCGTGGCAATGTAATGGTTAACAAGGTTGTCTCGCGAGAACAATTACGAATGAGTAGTGAGTTCGATCCTCACTGGGTGCCTCCTACTTTCGGCCTTGTGCCACATCTAAGCTACGCGGAAAACCACTATAGGCACCTCGAGGCGGTGTAATGGTTAGAAAGCTTGTCTGGCTAGAACAATTACGATTGAGTAGTGAGTTTGATCCTCACTGGGTGCCTCCTACTTTCGGCCTTGTGCCACATCTAAGTTACTCTTGGAAAATCACTATAGGCACCTCGAGGCGGTGTAATGGTTAACAAGCTTGTCTCGCAAGAACAATTACGACTGAGTAGTGAGTTCGATCCTCACTGGGTGCCCCCTTCCTTCGGCCTTGTGCCACATCTAAGCTACTCTTGGAAAATCACTACATGATTAACATTCATTAAGTGGATCGAGAAGGACGAATATGATCATACTAAGTGATTGTTGCGTAAAATAAATACCGTTTTAATAGTTAAGCTGTGGACTTATTGATGCATATATATATATATATATATATATATATATATATATATATATATATATATATATATATATGTAATCCTGCCTGAAGGCGATACAGAACGGCTGGTACACCTTTAGATAAAACTTGGTTCTGAGGAAGCTTCGAGAAGTGCTAGTGTACCTTCGAGGGACCTGCGAAGGATTGCCTTCCAAAAGCAAGGTGTGACTGACACAAGGCGCGAGACCAGGTCAGAGGACTCAAGAAAGTGGATAGTGTTGGTTGATGGTACACTGCCAGTGGAGGTTGTTGTGTCTGGACTGAGGCCGGATCTAGTGTTAATTGATAGCGAGAAGAAACATCATGGTTGCTTGGGAAGAAGGGATTGAAGAGGCTCATGAAAGAAAGTATGGTATGAGGAAACTGGTGGCTGAAGTCCGTGAGAGGGGATACGGCTGCACACTGGTGCCGTTTGAGGTTGGCTGTAGAGGATTTCCTGCTGTGTCTGGAGCACTTGATGTGTACATGTGTAATATATATATATTACGTGCTAATACCCTTTGGAAAGGTGTGAATCCTCTTCTTCTCCCTCTAGCTATGGGTAAATAGCAGGACAGACTGTGTTCTATAGCCTTGGATGGTAACTGCTCTAGGAGGAGGACAACTTTGAATTCAAAACCTGCGGAGGGTCATTTGGGACCTTGTGGCACGTAGTGCACCAAGTCTCTGTATTCGGCTCTTCAAAAAGTGTGGATGGTCCTGCACGAAACCTTCACCACTATAATCAAATCTCTTGTGCTGTTGTCGGGCTGTCGGTTTCCTAGAAAATGATCTGCTTGACCCTCATACGTCGAATACGACGGGAGAGTCAATCGAGTATATATATATATATATATATATATATAAGCTTTTGAAGAAAAAACTCCGAAGTCATGATTCCTTGTATATATACTAAAAAAAATTCCCCTTAAGCACAGATGAGGGTGGATAAAAAATATACATTATTTACATTATTCGGACTATGTCCTCGTCTTTGTCGCTATATTTATTACAACGTTTCGGCCGTTGTACGCTCCGGCCTTCTTCAAGTGGTTGAAATGTCGAACTGAACCCTTTATTTCGCTCACTGGGGGTAGACTGTTCTAGTTCCACGTGCCATGTTTAATGGATGTCAGTTATCAGTTATCCCCTGTTAATTTCCCTCTGAAAGTTCTCCACTGCCTTAACCGGATACTGAACTCACACTCTTTGGGTCCACTCACTGGATCTAACCAACGCTTTTAACAGGAGATAAGTGATAACTGACTTCCATTAAACATTGAACGTCGAACTAGAACAGTGAGCAAAATAAAGGGTTAAGTTCGACACTCCAACCACCTGAAGAAGGCCGGAGCGTACAACGGTCGAAACAGTGTAATAAGTATGGCGACAAAGATGAGGACAATAGTTCGAATAATGTAAATAATGTAAATAATGTACATAATACCTCATCTCAGAAAAATAGACAGATAAAAAAATATATAATTTCAATTACCCGCCCCACACAGAAACACTTATAATATCCTTGCTTTTCTTCTCTTCTCCCTCTTCTCTTCACATCACCCTCCTCTATTTGTATCATAGCCAACGTCGTGTGTTTGTTTATTTTTTAAATAATATAGCCTTCATTTGTTTTAAGTGTTAAAAGAAAAAGTAAAAAGCCAACACTTATAAATATTAACTACGAACAAAGGCCACAATGTGCTGTATTCGGAAAAGAAAACATCTCTATAACATTAAAAAAAAACATACACATGATGCACACACTCAATTAAACTGAAAAAATAAAATCAACCGTATAATGGCTAAAAGTATAGCGGAAAGTCAACATTCAGTGGTGATACATTGTTTTCAAGATTGTGTTTATGCATGAAACAGTCTGTCGCCTCTGGATGTTGACCTCAATGTCCACTTTTATATTTAACCGATAAATATAGCATACCTTAAAACTATATTTTTTATTACATACGCACACACACATACATACACACTCATATATATATATATAGAGAGAGAGAGATAGAGAGTGAGAGAGAGAGAGAGAGAGAGAGAGAGAGAGAGAGAGAGAGAGAGAGAGAGAGAGAGAGAGAGAGAGAGATAGAGAGAGAGAGAGAGATAGAGAGAGAGCGATTTTGATTCCAGTTTTATTATTGTGTATCAACAACACCCACTAAAAGAAACATTGTCTGGATTTAACGACTGACTGACTGACAACGGGCAGCTTTTAAAGATTGAATACAAAGTTATTGTTGTTCTTCTTTTTATTCTTCTTAGTTTTCTTGCTCTTCTTTTTCTTGTAGTTATTCTTGTTGTTGTTGCTCTTCTTCTTCTCCTCCTCCTCCTACTTCCTGTTCACTTTGTTCTTCTTGTTTTCTTCTTCTTCTTCTTCTTCTTCTTCTTGGTTTTCCTGCTCTTCTTTTTCTTGTTGTTATTCTTGTTGTTGTTGTTGTTGTTGTTCGTCTTCTTCTTCTTCTTCTTCTTCTTCTTCTTCTTCTTCTTCTTCACTTTGTTCTTCTTGTTTTCTTCTTCTTCTTCTTTTTGGCTTTCTTGCCCTTCTTTTTCTTGTTGTTATTCTTGTTGCTGTTGTTGTTGTTCTTCTTCTTCTTTTTCTTCTTCTTCTTCTTCTTCTTCTTCTTGTTTTTGCTCTTCTTTTTCTTGTTAATATTCTTGTTATTGTTGTTGTTATTCTTCTTCCTCTTCACCTTGGTTTTGTTATTGTTCTTGTTATTGTTCTTGTTCTTTTTCTTTTTCTTCTTCTTGTTCTTCTTCTTCTTACTGTTCACGTTGTTCTTTTTGTTGTTTTCTTCTTCTTGTTTTTGCACTTCTTTTTTGTTGTTATTGTTGTTGTTATTCTTCTCCTTGTTCACCTTGGTCTTGTCGTTGTTGTTGTTGTTCTTCTTCTTCTTCTTCTTCTTGGTCTCTTTACTCTTTTTCTTTCTTTGTTGCTGTTCTTCTCACTCTTGTTCTTGTTCTTCCTGTTTATCTTCTTCTTTTTCTCAGTCCACATATGATTTTATGCAGACAGAGTTTTTCTCGCTATGGGAGCTATGCAGTCATCTAATCAAAGATCTGCGTAAGACCGTGGATTTAGAACATACGTGACCGGATATGAAGTTGACGGAATACCAGTACGCCTGCACATCTACGCAGTGTCAGATACTGGGTGGTGACGAAGTGGGTGCCGTCTTTTGCTTTTCATACGTCAGTGTAATTTCCCGCTATCTCCACTCGCACCGGAAAAGATATCCAGAAATCCGAGTATTGGCTTCGACGACGTGTGGAACAACGTAACAGCTATTCCTCGCTCGAACGTGTGCCTGCGTTCCTCCATCCCTGATGGCTGGATTTCAGCACGATGTTTTGTGGCGAAATCCAGGCAGTTGCTGGAGATTAAAGCCCTTCACGGCTCACGGAGAGGTTAACTGACAGGGCTACCTGGTTCAATGTAGGCGTTGTTTGCAGCGGAAAGTAGGCTTATCAAGGTAGGGACTTGGTGGGGCGAGAAAATAGAATATAATCATTGTTTTTTCATCACTTGTGTTAGTTGGCACTAACGTACGAATAGGATTTGATAGAATGATTATATATCTCCTGGACGTTCACGGCGAGTTTGTGTCGGCAGGTACCTCCTATCCCAGAGAATAGCTCCTTAACCGTTAAAAATACATACCCTTATTTGCATATGGTTATAGGTATTGTTGGTAATTAATTCCTTTTTTAAACTAAATATTCAGAAAATGCATGCCCCGAGAGCCCTTCAAGGTAGAAGATTACTAAATGGGACGTATAATATAAAATTAAGAGGAGGAAGTAAGAAGCGAAGAATACGAAGATATAGAGGAAAGATAACGGGAAGAGATTAAGATTATAATGATCTAGGAAGCATCTTCATGAGTAGGGAATCCTACTTGCCAAGGGATTACAAAAGAAAACAAACAAGACCGATATATATATATATATATATATATATATATATATATATATATATATATATATATATATCAACAAATATATGTATTAAACAACAAATTTACAAGTGACAAAAACATCAACATTTGTGTTTGTGTGTGAACGTAAAGAGTTTATATTTTGGTGAAAGTTCGTACGTACGTGAATGTGTTTAATGGCGTTTTCATACAAGTGGGCGAAAACGTGGATCTCTGCTAGAGATCACATTTTTGATTGTATCCGCTGAAATGCAAAACAAAAAGAGAACGAGGCAAGAAGTCGCCCAGTATTTATAGTGTAGGGAGAGCGACCTCTAGTGAACAATTAGGGAATTAAGGAGGAGTTAACTCCGACAACCTTAAACTTTTAGTGTGTTCATGTTTGTGTGTGTGTTTGTGTGTGTGTCTGTTTCTTCTTGTATGTGTTGTGAACTAATTTGTTCTTGTTAATGATCGAATATCTAAACGGTCGATTACTTTGAATGAAACAATTTCATTATTTGGTTTGCCAATTAAAGTGTCACTGCACAAAAAGAAAAACATCCACAGTTTTGCTACAGCACGGACATTGATTTATAAGAAGCATTTATTAAATCACGCTCTCTTTATTGTTTGCATCGGATAAGGTCTTTGCCTCCGTGGGTTTTGGCTTGGTTTGTTTTAAGGGCATACCAGCATCAATGGGTTATTTAATGCCGACAACGTTTATTTTGCTGGTAATATTTTGTTTTTCTCAAAAATCTATTTCTGGTAATATTTTTCATTCAAAAGTATATTGCTGGTAATAGTTTTTTTTTTTTTTTCCTATAAAAAATTATTGCCGGTAATAATTTTTTACCAAGTATTTCTGGTATGAAAACCTATTTTTACACTTTCATAGTGTTTTTTACCACAGTTTCTGGGTTAACTATTTGACCATAGCGGGGACCCCTAACAGGTGCTACCACCCTAGGTCAGGGTGGACCTGGAAACACTAGGTGGTTCCACGCTCCTCAGAACCTCATGATCAGAGGCCTTGCTATTGGACGTAGTTTTTCGTCTTACCCAGGACGCGGATGTAGTTTATCGTCATGCCCAGGACGGTTAGCCTCCGTGGGGATGGGTAGCAAATATTTCATATTTTATTTCTAATATGAAAAACTATATTTGTTTGTGGCTTTTTGATTCGTTTTCCTTTGATAAGCAAATAATCATTTATTATGAAACTCTTAAAGAACAGAACGGATTTATTCCTTTCGAAGCGAGATTTTCTTTAAGTAAGAACATCTGGCGCTATTACACTTTCGCACCCCCTAAGCTTTACGTGCCACACCTCCGAATCCTGTTGTCCACCGATTGCGAATAGGTTTGTTCCCTACAACAGTTGCTGCAAGCAATGCAGTCCATACTGATTACTAGCAAACCATAGTTACGGCACCAGTCGATGCGTTTATCAATATTGTTATAAAACTGTGCTCCAATCTTCAAAATAGTGATGCCTTCAAAAACCTGCTGATTGGGAAGACGTTGAACACCAGCCATAAAACTTGGTTTGAAATGAACAGTAAAGTACGTGAAATGATGCACTGATCACTTCAAGCACTTTACTTGTTCATTTAAGCGCAGTGCAGTTAAAAAGATAACCACGTGTAGTAAACGGCGAAATATTACAAGGGAGGGGGGTGCGAAAGTGTATTAGCACCGAAATTGGTCACAACAAATAAATTAAGACAAAAGAGAACAATATAAAAGTAACAAGTACGTACGATGCCGTAAACAATGGCGTAGACAAGAATCACTTCACATACAAATGTTATAAAACTGTGCCCCAATCTTTAAAATGGTGATGTCTTCAAAAACCTATTGATTGGGAACGCGTTGAACACCAGCCATAAAATCTGGTTTGAAATGAAGAGTAAGGTACGTGGAGTGATGAATGTAAGCATTGTAAAAACAATAGCCAACGGGAAAAGCTTACATTGCGGGGGATTCTTACAACCGGGTGGGGACGTGCGAAAATGTAATAGAACCGAACATTCTTCTATAAAAGCAACATTTTTAATATCTGTTTTTAACAAGTCGTGTGTTCTGACTTCTACAAAGGTTTTTCTAAGCTACGAGTTCAAATATTAAACTTTCGCTCGAGCATAAATGAGTACAATATTTTTGTGATTAGTGTAACATCTACAATGTCAATTTAATTGTTGAAATTTGTTTATTTAATCATTTGGTAACTTCAATTAGATTTTGCTCGGTTAAGGATAAGTGCTCAAGGGTTCTAAAAAAACTATTTGGTATTTTTGTATCATTTAGATTGTGCTTATGCAAACCCTATAATCTATAATAAACACTTGCAAATTGATAACATGTGATAAATATATAATGAAATAAGCAAACATTCGCATACTATCAGATTCATAATGCAACACTTACTGTGGGTCGAATTATTTAACAATCACTATGCATCAAACTTATATTCGAAAACAATAAACTTCTAAAACAATAAGAGAAATTGACACCGTGGATGGCCAAGGACGCATGCAAAAGACGTGGGTTGACAGCTGAAATGTCACCACTCCACAGTCGTTGGATATATATATATATATATATATATATATATATATATAGAGAGAGAGAGAGAGAGAGAGAGAGAGGGAGAGACAGACAGAGACGCATTGGGATGGGCAAGGACACATTCCAAAAGCTGGGCAGGGTACTGCGAGACAGGAGGATATCTTTGTTAACAAAGAAAAGAATACTGAACTGTTACGTGACATATGTCCTTCTTTACGGCAGCGAATGTTGGACGATTTCCTCAAAGATGAAGAAGAGACTCGAGGCAACAGAGATGTGGTTCTACAGAAGGATGCTCAGGATATCATAGACCGAGCGTGTGAGCAACGATGAGGTCTTAGAGAGGATGCAAACAAGGAGGAGACTCAGGAAGAGGGAGCTGAAGTTCATGGGACACATAATGAGGAAGGAAGGCCTTGAGAATCTGATACTCACGGGTCGAATAGAGGGAAAGAGAGACAAGGGAAAACAACACGTGACATACTTGGCGGGCTTAAGCAAATGGATTACAGAACAGAATTACTAGGGGAGGTAGCAGAGAGAAGGAACTTGTTGAGAGCTGCAAGGGATAGAGAGGAGGTAGAGAGCCATGATCGCCCACGTCCTGAAAGGACATGGCACATAAAAAGAAGAAAGAAACTAGGGAAACTTGTATATGGTCAATCTTCAAGAACACTGGGTTAAAATCTCAAGTTAGAAATTCTAGTTTAGTCGAGACTCCTACTTCTATGTTCCGCCCCCCCCCGGAATTTGGCGACCATCTCCACAATTCCATATTCCCTCTTTGTGCTCCTAATAACAGTTGGTATTTTTACTATCTGCCTTTAACTTTCCTCACCATCCATTCTTTCAAGCTATCCAGGTTGGTTCTGCGTTCCTTTCTTATATCTCTTTTACCTTCAATCTGCCCTGTGAGGGTCAAATTTGCCAAGGCCTCTTTCCTCATTATGTGTCTTTAGAACTTCGTCGCTGCTCACATGTTAGCAATCTATATCTATAATTCTCAAAATGTGTGTATGTATGTATGTATGTATGTGATCGGATGTTGTTTATGAATTTGCACAGTTTTCATCCGATTACAATGATTTTTTTTTGTTTGATAGATAATTCTTCAATGCCGGTTTTGTATCCAAATTTTTGACGACAATGGCTCTCCACTACTTCCTGCCCATTATAACACTCAGCAACGTTTTACTATTTACTATCTGTTCTTGGATATATATCTTTCATAAAATCTTTAATAAAATAAATAGTTTAAATTATTACAATAATATTATTTATTATTATACAGTCCCCTTTTCAGGGACACCCCCCCCCCATTCAAATTGTTAACCCCCACATTTGGGGATGTGCCTCAGTTGCACCCAAATATTGTTACTAATATTGATTTTCGGCTGGGCTGACTTTAAACTACTCCAATTGAACGACAAAAATTCCCAGTAATGAAAGAGCTGGACGCAGACGGGTTATACTGCTAGTCCTTATATAGATCTTCATTTCTATTGCTTCAATCTCTTCTTCATCTGTGAAGAGGTTGTCCTGCATTCACTGTCGTATAGGGGGACCAAGTTGAGTACTCTTTTCTTGTTTTCTAACGATATTTTTCTGTTTGTTAATACTTTGTTCAGGTTTTGGAAGGCAT